AAGGTCTACAGCTAAGCTTCCAGAACTCCCTAAGACTCCTACGCTATAGACCTACAGATCGAACCCCTGCTGTCTATGGACCTACGACAGGTCTACCAACTGCCTACGAATACACAGGTCACAGGTTCAATTCTCAGGGTCTACACAGATACTGTACATGGGTACGGTGAGGTCTAGGGATCGAACCCTGTGTACTGCATCCGCTACTGCTAAAAGGTGAAAACCGTTTCAATTCAGTGGAGCCGAGCCTCATGGTTTGGAGAGTTGGTGGAGCGAGATCCTTCATTTCAGCATATTTGAAATTTCTCTTTTATCATGTCCCCATTTTGGGTGTTCTGCCCTCCAACTGCTTCCCCTCACGCCGAACAAAGAAAACAAAATCTTAAGATTCAAAGGTCAGGGACAAAAACTTACGGTGCCACAGAAGTGAACAATCTTCAGCTCCTCCTCTTCCACATTTTCAGGATGTCTCCAAATGAGGGCAAATACCAAGTTGTAGCAGTTGGGAATAGGCTTGAAAGTCTTTCTGAAATACATGTTCAGGAAGTCCTGCAACCAACGCGGACATTACATTTAAAAAAAAAATACGAAAAGACCGTTCAGAAATGCACAAAGTGCCACAAACGTTTCTTTAGTCTTTTGATTGCCCGTGTGTTCCCCTCCACACCCACCAAAAGCGAAAATCGACATAAGGATGGCACTGCCAGCACGAGTCACGTTACCGAGTACGGGGAAGTCAAGAAGCCAGGATTACCTTACTCGGCCTTTTGGCTAAGATCAAGTGCAGTATTTGTTCTGGTCAGTTTAAAATCTGATCCGTAGTCCATCAGGCCACATTGATATTAGACCACCACTACCTCCGAACATGTTTTTGCCAAACCTGAATGTCACTGTGCATCAAATTTTGCCGAGCCTGGGTCCCATTTTATTTTCTGGTACTCACGGCAGTTGCATCCCAAAAACGAACAAGGGAAAAAACAAGAACAAAAAAGAAACTTCCCTAACGCTGTGATAGCATCAGATACATTCTATGAGGTGCTAGTGAGCCTACTGTGACTGTGCACTCATTGAGGGCGTCTGTCCAATGAACAGCAGATGAAGAAGAAGAAAAAAAGCATCCCTTATGATGTGACTGCGGTCCGATAGACGGCGCTGTGACTTCCACCTCAGTGAGGGCCTTCCCTGAGGTCGCTGCATTCAAAGTTCTTAGTTCCATTTTGCTCAAAGCACTGGTGCAACTTCCACCTCAGTGAGGGCCTTCCCTGAGGTCGCTGGAAAGTTCTTAGTTCCCCCCGCCCCCCCTTCCCCCCCCTCTCACCGCAGGTCCACAGGGTCCCAATCTTTTCCTTTTTTTTCCTTTCCTGCCGAGAGACTTTTCGGAGGAGGCTCTTGTCCCATTTTTCCGAACACTGGCAAAGGTTGTGGTGGTTTAAAGTAGGGGAAAAAAAGAGAAAAAAAAAGCGCCAGGATTACAACTCATGTGATCTATTGTATTTCAGCACCTATGGTTTCCATTTTGGAACCCACAAACTGCCCAGGTAACAGCACCATCTCTCTCCCATTTGCATCTGCAGATTGTGCACCAGTCGCCCAGTCACTCAACAAGTAAGGGCAGACTTGCAGCAAGACTCTCCTGCAGGGTGTGGAGGAAATCACGGATGGAGAGGATAACTAAACTGTTAGACTAACCCCCTAAACAATCGGCGGAAAACACCAAAAACATGGCTTGGGCGACCGGTGGTGGTGAGCTAGCAAAGGGCGATGCTCTTTGCAATAGGAGGGTTTTCTGAGTTTAAACATTCACAAGTCCATGTCAGGGGACGGAATGGGTTATTGCTTTCTTTTTTTTTGGGGGGGGGGGGGGGTATTGCTGACCTGTATCCAATTAGGTTATATGGCATTTGCTTGTGGTATCTCCAATTATCCTGTGAGTTTTTGGATGAAAAATGCTCCTTTCAAAGCATTACTTCTTGAATTCAGGTTCTTCTATTCAGGAAACAAAGAGTGATTCAGGCTCGATAACGGAAAGAGAAAGATCTCTAATTTACCTGCTCAGCAAATGGAGTCGGCACTGTTGTGCTCAGAACAGAGACCATGTCCACAAAGATTGCCCTGCTCGGCTCAAAGACAAACATTCCTGCGTTGAAGTATGGAGGGGGGAAGTCATCTTCCCTCCAAAAAGAAGGCACCTTGTGTGACCTCTGTTGGCAGTAGCCGTCCCGGTATTGCTTGGTGTGCTGCCACGAAGACTCGCAGAAGCAGTCCAAAGCCGCAGAGAGTGTTCCTGGCGGTTCATTGAACAGCTCATCCACATTCTTGACCACCATCATGTCTGCGTCCAGATACACCATCTTCGAGAAGTCCTCAAACTGTGGCGAATTTGCATGAAAACCGCATAAATGTCAACGTCATCCTCCTCATTTCAGAGAAAAATCCCTTCTTCCTCTCCCCCTCTCCCAGTCCTACAACCATCGCTATTAAGGCCCTGACAATTTCAACAGCAAAGAACCACAAAGAAATTGGTTATCAGAGAAAATAAGATATAACGGCCATTTCGCTAAAACGGACATTATATGTTTTTGGAACCAAATTGAAACCGACTTATTTGGCCCAAAAAGTGTAGTCGGGTTTCCAATTTCGTTCAAAAAATGTAAAATGTCTATTTTAACGAAATCATGGCTGTTATACACAGTTTGGTCAACTGGGAAATATTATCACAGAGCAATTAACTAAGAGGAGAACCCTTCAGACATCTGTTCGGAATCACGCCCAAAAAATTCAGTAAAAGAATTTCAAAACACTTTGTGCTCCGGAATTTGCGATCAGGTACTGAGTACGATCCATTCAATATCATCGGCACAGAACAAATGACATACCCGCAGTGGCCAGGTATGGATCATGAACCTGGCAGTCCGGGCCATCCACATGCATTCTCACATATGCAATATCGTCGGCACAAAATGAATGGCATCCAGTTCCCTCTTCACGTACCTGAATGCCTTCACTGGCCACCTATGGATCATGAACCTGGCAGTCCAGCCCATCCAGATGCATTCTCACAGGCAAGCGGCATTCTATTGGTCGTTACTTTCCCAGCGGCACCTTTTCATTTACCCCTTCCATTCTCATAATACAGTAAGTCTAAGAGCTGAGCAGGCTAGAGCAACCGCCAACTACACCTGCCTGGCAGTATCCTCAACCGAGGAAGCGGGGAAGACAGGTGGAGCCAGGTAGGGCGCCGTTAAAGCGCCGCTCTATGTCCCCTACCCCCTCTCTAACCCCGTTCTACCCCTGTTCCCCTCACTCCAACTTCCGAAAAACGCACAGTGGGGGCCCTGGGGGGTTGCGGATGACGAGGCCTGAGCCCCGCCATCCATCATCCGAAAACGACAATAAAAGAAAACGAACCTCTACACTCCTGCGCCCGTACTAACGTACGCATATGGGTCGTTTGAACGACCGTACGAACGGGCCCAAGGGGGCACGTACGTTCCGTACAACCGTACGGGGGAAAAGGAGGAGTTTGGGGGGGGGGGGGGTTGAGCGCTTTGAGGCCAAGGGGGGGTGACGCATGTCGGGGGTCATCCCCCAGACCAAAAAAAAAAACTTGTTTTTTTTTTTCTTTGGTCAGGGGGAAAAAAAGAAAAAAACAAGATTGATTGATTGATTGTGAAAATGGGGAAAAAAAATCGGGTTGGAAATTTCTTTTTTTTTCTACTGATTCAATTTGATTGACTGATGGATTGAATGGTGGTGGGGGGGGGTTGCCCCCCGACCCCACTGCAGACACACACACACACACACACACACACACACACACGCACACACACACACGCGCGCGCGCGCATGCACACACACAGATGCAACACACGCACACACACACACACACGCACGAGCGAGCACACAGACACACACGCACAAACACACACTCGCACACACACATGCACACACACACACGCACACACACGAACACACGCAGACACTCACGCACACACACAAATCCGTCGCCGGTCGGTTGAGACCAACTGAGCAGTCATCGCACAAACACACACGTGCACACGCACACGAACACAAGAACACACACACACAGCACACACACACAAAGCACCCAGACACACACATCCTCTCTCTCTCGCACGCCGGCGCGTGTGGCCGCGGACGTGCAGGGAGGGATGAAGAGACAGAGCGAGCGTGCGCTCCCTCCAAAGTGTTTATTTTTTATTAACTTGAATTTGAATGAATCAATCAACCAACCAACCAACCAACCAACCATCAATCAACCAACCAAATTTTATTTCTTTGGGTCTCATTAGACACTCCTAAAAGAATCCAAAAAATTTTAATAGTCCTGAAGGATTTTTAGGATTTTGTGCGGTGTTGTTACACGCAATCCTAAAAATCATCTTTTAGGATTCGTCCCAAAAGGTCTCCCACGGCCGGTTTTCATATGCGCATACGCAGCCGCGTCGCCAAATTGAATGTCCGTCCATTCCTGCCAATGTCCATCCAATCCCCACCAACGGCTTCCGTTCGCGACCGTTGCCCGCGTCGACCCGCAGAAAACCTCCGATGTCCGACCACTGACCCGACGGACCGCTTCTGCACCAGCAACTCCGTGTCGACGGTGCCATGCGCGCGACGCAACGAGTCCGTGAAACACGGGAATCCTAAATTTTTCAGTAGGTCGGGGGCTACTGGAAAATTTAGGACGATTTTGCCTGGGGAATCCTAAATCCTTTAGGACTCGTCCTAACGCCGTTTTCACATTTTCGATCTCAAAATTGGAATAGGAATTGCATGCAACCAAGACGCAATCCTAAAAACAGGCACTTTTAAGAGCGTCTAACGAGACCCTTTGTCTTGTTTTTTTTACCCGTTTTGTATTTTTTAGATCTTAAAAATATAAAAATAGACCCCCCCCCCCCAAAAAAAAAAAAGATGGGGCTGTAGAGCACAAAACGCTCTACAGCACCCTTGTTTTTTTTTCCTGTTTTGTATTTTCTTAGTTTTTTTAAATATAAACACAGACCCCCCCCCCCCAAAAAAAAAGGGGCTGTAGAGCACAAAACGCTCTACAGCACCATTTTGTTTCTTTTTCTATTTTTTTTTGGGGGGGGGGTTGGCACTTCCTACCGGCCAGTATGAACGGCCGTACGACAGAACTCCCGTACGACGTACAGGGGTCAACACAGCACAAGCACACACACACACACACACACACACACACACACACACACACACACACACACACACACACACTCACACACACACACACACAGAGTGCCTGCCCTCCAGCAGTGAGCACTCCCGAATAGAATGGAAGTGCTCCCGTTGGGAGCGCCCAACTTATCAGGCAGGCGACGGTAGGTAAGCGTTTCCCTCTAGCCGTCGCTTCCCCGACAGGGTCTGACGGCTGGCCCACCATTTTGTACCCCCGTGTTTTGTTTTGTTTTTTCGTAAAAAAAGAAAATGGCAGCGCGGGCGGGTCTCCGACTGCTGGGGCCAGTGACCCACGCCACCGAACGGGGTTACCCACCCCGTGGTGCCCTTCGGTGGGGGCCGGTGTACCCCGTTTGAAAGACATTCCACAATGCAGACCCCAAATTCGAATTTCAGGGTCAGGGTCAAGGTCCCAGGCCAAGGGAGGCCAATCGGTCAGTTTCAGAAAAGTCACAGTCGGGTACCTTAGGAGTCAAGTTCAACAGGCACCCGGTAAACAGTCACATCCCAAAGGCAAAAGTTGCATTCTGGAAGCAAAAGTCACGTCTCATATTGAAAAGTCATGTCCCACAGGCAAAGGACAATTCTCCAGGCAAAAGTCGTGTCCCAGAGGCAAGAGTCACATCCCACAGTCAAAAGCCATGTTCCACAGGTGACCCAAGCAGCAGCACACCAATGAAAATTCGGGAAAAGTACCAGACCTTGACATTCAGAAGCAAGCAGGCCGTGGGCATGTGGTACCGGGTCCAAGTCAAGCCAAAGGAAGCAGAGGCTGGGACGAGTTGAGGCTCAATCCAAGTGTGGAATTGTTGCTGCATTTCAGGGCGATTGCTCATTCGTGAGAAGTGTGGAATTGTTGCTGACGCGCTAGTGCGCTGTCGGTTAGTTG